TATATATGAATGAGGACAACTGTTGCTAAAAGATCATCATCACTATCCTTTAAAATGATAGTTAAATATCAACATTTGGTATTAAGCTGTGTTTAAAAACAAAATTCATTTAAGAATTAAGTTATGATTCCTTAATTAGAACTCTTTTGTTTCCGAACACTCAAGATGAACCATTCTGCATTCATGTTTAAGTTCATCTCCTGAGATTTGAAAACAATTGTTTTAAAAGGAAAACAATTGTTTTCCTTTTAAGAGAAACTTGTACAAGAAATGCAAAGGTTTTTGATTGTGAAACAATAAATGATTGTCTTACAATAAGTGCAAGACTCATTGACATGAGCCCTTTGAGAAGGTGCTCATGTTCCTGTAATGTATGAAGGCAAAAGGAAACATTAAAATACCTGATCAGCAAAACGTATTTGTACAAAAACAAAATGACTGTTCTCTGTTTCTGGCCTCCTTTAGATTAAACCCCAAGTAATCAAATGTTATTTCAGATCTCCAGTTCCTAATATTTTCTTGTAGAAAATGTACTTTTTGATTTACCTTCTTTCCTAATGCTCCATCCACAGTTGCTTATATATTTAAAGATTTTGGATCTCAGTAGCTTGAGATGAAAGCAGGTTGATGATTTTGATTTTGGTGGCACGTAACAGTAATAATAAAAATGTTACTCTACCAAAACAGTAATAGTGAGAACAATATGTCATAATATCAGGAATAACATTACCTGATAACAATTTATATTATTTCATTTTCCAAGTAAGACAAACATGACAAATTTCATTTTGAATTAAATTTCTATGTGGTAAAATAAGTTGGGTATGCCAAGTCAGAATTTTCCTAATTTTGGTGTTAAGCCAAAATTGAAACAAAATAAAATCAGACTTGCAGCCTTATTGCGTTTGCTGAATATTTGTGTAATCCAGTTTTGTTTTTGCCTTTTCCTGGCACTGATAGCCTTCCATAGAAACCGTTTGGTTATGGAGGTCTTGCAGCTGATCTGGTTCTTCTAGATGAGAATAATTAGGTAAATGCTGAAGTTGTTTTGTTTTGATCCTCTTTCCTGGCTTCTAACACGGGTCTTTTGTATGCGATCACTTCCCCTCCTGATTATATTGTGGTGCTATGTGTGTGTGTGTGTGTGTGTATATATATATATAGATAGATAGATATATATGGGGAGAGAGAGAGATTATTATTGTCTGGTAAATTGAGTTATAGTGAAAAATTTATATTTTCGATACAAATTGAGGTGGGGGGAGGGAGTATCTGTCAGTTATAAATTTATTGATATTAACAATAACCCTAGAGGTACATTTTCAAAATTGCAGTTTCAAGTTTGTACATCTTTTTGATAGTGTATACAAGTTTCTGTTTATATGATTAATTTGTGCTGTGACTAAGCTTTGACCATGTAAATAAAGCCAGAAGTTTGGATTACAATTTGGTTGTCTTTGTTTACAAGCGTTGCCAACTGTTTCTGCATGGCTGTGAAAGTTTCTGGTGACTTTTATAAAAAGATGACTTTTGAATTATTAAACTTGTATTCAGTGTAACACTGCCAATCCTCTCTGCTTCACCATTGGACAATACATCTTTAAACATGCACAGAGAATCAAAATAGACCATAGCATGTTAGTGTGCCTCATAATGAAACGTACTATTTTGCATCAGACTTAACCGTGAAGAACTACTCCAGAAACTCAATTTACCAGCACCATCACAAACTAGTTCTGGCACTGATCTGCAGCGAAGTGCACAGCACAGACTGATCGTTAGAGATTAACTGCACTGCCTCATTCTCAAGATTTTCAGAAAAGTTTACCTCTATCTACTAAAAATCTGTCTTTGTACCTCTAGATTCTGTCAATTTGAAAATCTGAATCATCAAATCAATGCTGCTGGCCGACCCGGCGGGATATAATAGCCATAAAACACTGTAAGGAGATGAACATCAGCTTCACTTTCAGACCTGGAAGATGAACTGTGAACCCAATTCAAGTTTTTTTAATGATCACTGCCAATTGCAGAAACCCAATCCCCTTTCCTCAGCAAACTGACATGGTTCATTTAATAGTTGGAAGTCTTAAAAGATTTTTCTTATTAGTCATCAATGTCTGGAAGGATGATAAAGTTGCTTTAAACTATTGACAGTATGAAAGCAGTTTCCTAATCTAGTCAGATTAGGAAGTTGCTAATACAGACTGTCAGGCTAATTAACACTAATCCTGCCTAAAGTCACCACATTTTAACCCCCCCCCCACACACACACACAGGAACATAAGTACCAATGACACAGACAGGATGCCAGCTATTTTATTTTATTGTAAAGCAAATTACCGTTAACAAAACAGACAGTCAAAGACAGGTTTGGAATCATTAAACAATGTACATTGAAGGACTAGATGGAATTTTGCTCAGGAATGAATTCGGACTACACGTGGCCCCACAGAGACCAAATCAGAGCACAGTGGTAATGTAAAGGACAAGAGGGGTGAATTGTGAAAGACAAAGGATTTACACAAGTTCTTCTCCCTCCAGGCTACAGCTTACCACAGGAAATCTGAGGCAAGAGTTTCACTTTGTGCCCAAGCAGTGGTGAGGTGGGAGCTCCAGACCCAGAGCAGCTCAGTAGAGCCAGCTGAAGGCACAACTAGTGTAGTTGACAAGCTCATCATCTTTAAACCACAAGGAAATTTCCTTGTTGGCACTCTCCACCGAGTCACTGCCATGGATGATGTTCCTTAAGAAGAGGACAGAGTCAGAAAGTGACTATACACTTCATACACGCTATTGTTTCACATCTGCCATCATGCGAAGATAACTCACTTGCTGACATCAATACAGAAGTCTCCTCTGATGGTTCCAGGCTTAGAATCAGCAGGGTTAGTCTCTCCCAGCATCACCCTGCCTGTCTTCACCACACCCTTGCCTTCCCACACCTGAAGCAACCATGACAGATAATGAGGTTAAGATCTGACCTTGAACTGTTGACATGCATATATACATAGAGTCTTACCATGGCAACCACTGGACCAGACCTCATATAGTTGATGAGAGTAGGAAAGAATGGTCTGTCCTTTAGGTCAACATAATGCTTCATCAGGAGGTCCTCAGAGGCCTGCAGCAAAGAAAACAAGGCAGTTTCGTAAATGTTCACTTTCACATCCTAATTTGTGAGTCATCATTTGTACTTCATTTCACTCGCTGCTTTGCTGTAATACTTGTAATTTCAGATGAAGCACTCTAATTGTAGTGTAGGGGTCTCGAACTCCAGTCCTCAAGGGCCGGTGTCCTGAAACTTTTCCATGTGTCCCTGCTGCAACACAATTAGTAGCACACAATGCAGCCATTTGATTCATGTTACAGCAGCTCATGAGTGAATGAACATGGTGCAATCAAAGTACTGTTAGAAGTACATTTTTCCAAACACTTACATTTACTTAAATTTACTCGAGTAGGGTTAGGGGTTGCCATTTCAGCATGTAGTCAAGTTCTATAATGACCTAATTCAGGTGTGTTGCAACAGGGACACATGTTTTAAGACACCAGACCTCGAGGACTGGAGTT